CCAAGAAGACCGGCACAAAGTGGGTGTTGCCGGACCCGGCCCTCACAGAATCCGCCTTGCTTAAGGGGGAAACTGCGAAGGCCCACTCATCCGAAGACGGCGGACCTTCACAGCTTCGGGGACTACTGTCGGGAGGGGGGGGGGTGAACCTCGAGCAGGCAACGGAACCCGGATCCTTTTCAAAAACAACGGGGCCGGCCAAGCCCCGCAACTCGGCCGAGCTCTCCGACCCGGCAAGACGCGTCGACTCGGCCTCAACAACTAGCGCAAGACAGCCGAACCCGGCACAACCAAAGCTTCCTCGACAAGCCAGCTCCAGCCCTGGCATGCTCCGCAATCCAGCCACGGGTCAGCTCCCGTCCCATCCAGGCCGTACGATGGGACGAGTCTTCAATCATCGATGGCCAAGGCAACAGTGCCCCGCCCATGCCTCTGGTCAGCCTGAGCGTGGCAACAGTGCCCCTCACCTACCCGCTGACCAGGACTGGTGTGGCTACAGTGCCCCCGCCCTCACCACTGACGACAGCAAGCGGCGACCTGACGGAGAGCCACTGTACACGACTCGACTCGGCCATGCCCTGATGATCGACAAGACGGCGCACAGTCCCCCTAGGCACGCGGGGCCCGCACCTAGGGGAACCCGGCGAACCACAGGCCCTCAGCGGGTCCCAGCCCGGGTCCCCGGACGCCGACAACCCGGACCCACCGACTTGTAACATTACCATTGTACCCCTGGGGGGTTGGTCTATAAAACCCCCTAGGAGCCCTCACGTGTACAGAAAAGGGAAGGGAAGGAGGGGAAAAAGCCAGTAAGCACAGAACTAGCCACCGAGACATCAACACCAGAGAGAAGGAGCAGCCTAAGCCTTGGCCAGCTTCCTTCCTCCCCCATACAGCTCCAGGAGCAACATTGTACTATCAAACATCAAACTACACTCGGCAGGACTAGGGGTGTTATCTCTCCGAAGAGCCCCGAACCTGGGTATGTCCGGCGTCCCGCGCCCGCTCATACCAACCTCGCCTCTGGAGCCCACCAGCGCCCTCGAGCCTCCTCCTCTCTTTAGCCATCCCTTGGCATCTGTCGTGCGCCCACCATGACAGGGGTTAAAGATAACCTTAATCCCCCTAAAAACACTTCGTTATTTTAGTAATGTCCCCATAACCAGCTCCGCACCACCCTCCCTCTATGATCATTCGCAAAGTATTTACGATCATACCAAGGGATCCCACCCTAAGGAGATGAAATTCTTGATACATCTCTATGAAAAAAAATCTTAATTGAAAGCTATCTACAACCTTTACATATTAGCCAAATTATGTATTTGATAATGCTTTTATTCATGAGGATTGGGCAACTGGATACATGGTTCTAGGCAACTGTATAGCTTATTGTGGGCAACTATCATACCTCAAAAAGGGGTAACGAACATACACATGTTCGTTTTCTTAGAAATTCACAGATAAACTTAATACCATAAAAAACTTCATGGTTTTAGTTATGTTCCCATGACCAGCTCCACCCCGCCACCATCTACAATCATTCGCCAAGTGTTTACGATAATATCATTGGATCCCACCCAAAGAGAAGAAATTCTTGACACGCCATTGTGACACAAACTTAATTGAAAGGTATCTAAAACCTTTAGATATTGGCCAATTCGTGGTCATGGTAATGTTTCTATTCATGAGGATTGAGCAATGGGATACATGGTTTTAGGCAACTGTATGGTTAATTATGGGCAACTATCTTATCTTTCATGTATTGTGTATAAAAAAGGGATCCAAGTATCTTTTTTGTGTTTTTTTGTTGCTTTTGTTGTGTGATAGTTTTTCCAAAATCCAGCCGCGATTTGTGTGGTCGTCAAGGTTGCATGCTGCCTCCCTCCGACGGTGAATCACTGCGGGGCACGAGCAAATCCCCTCCCCTTTCTCTCTTTATCTCTTCGACGGTATCCGACAAAAAAATGGGGTGGGAGTGTAGGTGGGGGTGGGGGCGACGCTTCCACGTACTGCAGTGGTTATTTCTTTTCTGTTTTTTTTTTGGAATGGGCCTCACCATACCTTCGGTCACCACACCAGACAGAAAGCACCTGCGTGCGGTTCGTGCCAAATCAAATGGCTCGGGAGGGGACGCTCGACGTCCCCAAATAGTGCAGCTGCACTAATAAGCATTTGGGTACAACTTATGTATGGATTTAGTGAATAGGATAGTCATGGGAGGCAGCTTATAATGACTTCTCGTTGAATGGCAATCATAGTAGGCAAACTAAGAAGAAGCTGCTTTCCTATAGCACTAAAGTTGCCTCTTTAGCATCCAAAGTTGCTCAAAACAAAAAGTTTGTCAAAACATATCCATAGGGGATCTAGTTTTGAAGAACTCACCGCAAGAAACCTAATGGTGAAAACGGATCCAAATTCTGATACTTGAAGCAAAAGTTATGGCTTTTTAATTTTTTATTAAGCCCAAATAAATGCACGTACTTGTCATTTCCTGATTGATTTGTGCAAAGCAGGGTGTTCGATGGGTGAGGAACATATACTTTCCTTTTTTGTAGTGTAATGATGACATATAATGCCAATTACCCTTTTTGTAGTGTGAGTTTTTGTCGTGCACCGCGTGTGCTCGCAAAAGGTCAATTAGCGCAGCTGCACTATTAAGAATTCAGGTTGAATGTGTTACCAAAAATTGATCCTGGTTTGTCTGGAAAAATCAAAACCGGGAGAAAATAGAGGCAGGGATGGACATTCACTAACTTGGTTTTGCTACGTGAATGTAAGGAGCACACCTCGGCGGGTGTGACGGACATGACGAGCGGAGCGCGGAGGCAAGGACGGCCGTGGCGCAGCGTCACCAGGAGGACGATCTTGAGGCGCTTTACACTGCTGAGCCCGTCCCGGCTGCCGTCTGGTCGCCGGCGTATACAGCTTCTCTTCCACAACTGATGAACGTGCCCACAAAGGATTGGCCAGAGAGAGAAGAAACAGATATATGCAGGGCCGTCAATGGGGTAGTGCGAGCAGCCGTCGTCTTCTCTTCCGCTGACCTAGGAAATTCCTTCCTGCATGTGAGACACGGCCTTAACTGCCCTGCAATCTCCGCGATTATCTTCCCTATATACACGTGATTGCTTCCTTCTGATTTGTTTACGGATTGGCTAGCACCATTATCGCATGCAAAAATATCGGGAGCAAGAAAATCCCCAAAGATATCGCTCCGTTTTATTATATCGTATACTACATTACTCCTACTCTGAGAGGAAACATTCCATCCAGCGACAAATTGATTGCGTCTGGTTACCTTACGTGATGATGGTAAAACCGGCAGAACCGGCAGGGAGAAAACCGGTGGAGGGGGGAAAGAAAATCGCTACAGGGGAGAGGGGGTCGTACGAGAGGTTGGACGAAGAACGGGCAACGTAAGAGGGGAAAAGGAACACTCCATTTCTTTTAGGTAGTAGAGATAGAGAAGAGAAGATAGAGATAGAGATATTTTCACAAAAATGGCTTGACAAAGGGAAAAAAATTGCCCCTTGACAGTAATATCTGGAATTGGTCCACTATCCTGGACGACTGAATGCCAATGACCCTTATTCACATTTCAACTATATATGGATATATGATGCCACCATTAAATTATTTTCTTCATATCAAACCTCCGGGTCCAGAATGATTCGAACTCTAGTCGACATGGGAGCTGAGCTCGTGATGGTTATGTCTATTGTCCTGCTTGATTGGCCCATGTATGTAGATGCCGTGCTTTCACCATCACTTCCTTTACTCAGCACTGTAGGCTGCTTAGGCTCCATTGATAAGCTCATGCTTTCAGAATTCAGCATGGCAGCAACATCTGTCATGGTGGACCGATCTGCTGGATCTTCCTGGGCACAAAGGAGTGCCATGTGAGCACAGCGCGTTATCTCGGCGATTTCATATCTGTTCCCTAGAGACGGATCAACAAGCTCATGCAATATTTTGTCCTTCCACATATGCCAGGCCTGAAATAATTTTCCAATAAACTTGGCATGAGAGAACTGTAACTTGAGTCGAAATTTATAAATATGTATGGGCTGAGCATTAGTGCTGACAACCGTGAATGTATAACTACAAGAAATCATGCTAGAAATATATGTTCAGTTCACTCACGTCGCGCACAAGGTCACCAACAGTATCCCCTCGTCTGTCGAGTATGGTATTCTTCCGTCCGGTTATGATTGCCAGAACCAAGACGCCGAAACTGAACACATCCGTCTTCACTGAGTAAACTCCTCGAGATGCATACTCCGGAGCTTTGTAACCACTGAAAAGTGCAAACAAAAGAGATCAAAACTGTAATGATGGAATCTGTAAAGATTGATTTATCAGGCAGCTCATACCAAGTGCCCACAACCATGTTTGTATGCTCTTCTGCTACTTCTGAACTCAGTGCTCTAGCTGATCCAAAATCAGCAATCCTTGGGTTCAAGTTATAATCCAAGAGGATATTATTTGGTTTCAAGTCCCTATTGACAATCCATAACATGGAGCCTTTGTGCATATAAACAAGCCCCTCTATTAACCCTTTGATTATCTTGAGTCGCTTAGACCAGTCTAGCAATGACCCTTTTGTTCTGTCTGCAAAATGTTCAATTGAAGATTATCTTTTAGACAAAACTAATTGCAATTTATATTCGTATGTAAACCAAACTAGAATAGCTTTAAGTTGATTATGATGCTGAATGAGAGCTATCGTAGCATTTCATGTAACTGTGAATGTTTTGAATCTACCCACATATATACTTAAAATAAAATGAAGCGTGCTTGAAAAAATAACTGTGATGTCTGATCATAACGAAAACATACCGTATATGTGACCGTCCAAGGAACCATTGTGCATGAACTCATAGACCAGAATCCTTTCTTTCTCATGAATGCACCACCCAAGTAACCTAATCAGATTGGTATGCTGAAGCTTTGCAAGCTGCAATTCACTGCCGACTGTTGCGCACTCATGAGCTCTCTTGATGGCAACCGTAACTCCATCGGACAACTCACACTGCAATGGTTCCTGACGGAGTTTAGATAACATTCTCCCAACAGAATCAGTGCTTTATGGGGGAGAAAAGAAGACGGCAATCCTGATTTCCTAATGGAGCTTCCATGTGGCCGAGTGGAATCTGGCCTCCATTAGCACATCAGGATCCATGCCTACTTTGCCCGTATAACTCATTAACCCACACAACTCTTCAATACTTTCAGACGGAAGTATAGAAATACTAAGTGAGCTTTTGTCAGCCTGTGTCCATCAAAGTGAGAGATTGCAGAGAGAAGGACACTTGCATGCCTCCATATTATCTCTCCCCATACAAAAGGCATGAGTTTTATTTCATTGTGATTTTTTGGATGATTGGTATCTCTAACCAAAAGTCGGTCGGATTTCACATATTTTCATATATTTGAATTCCTAGCGACAAGACCTTCAAAAAAGAACAAACTTGGATACATTTTGACTAATTTAGATTTCAATTTTTAATCATATTTCAAGTTCAGTTATTTCAGTTATTTAATTTCACTTATTTCAAATGAATTTCACACACGTCATTTATTTCAACCGTAGTAATCTCAGTTACAACATTTATGTTACTAACTTCATCATGTATTTCAGTTCCATTGTTTCGTATATTTCGTTTACTAATGATATATGGTCAAAATTAGTTTTGTAACAATTTATAAATTTAGACTTAATCCAGTTGTGCAATTTCTAGTTTCTATTTCATAAATGTTTCGGTTCTGTCACTAATTTATAAATCTATTTGAAACATCTCAAATAGATTTCAATTATTTTAGCAAAATTAATAAGCATTGAAAATGAGTGAAATAGCTTCAAATTCATAAATAAGCGCTGACATTTTAGTGAAATAACTGAAATTCGGGTGGAGTGTTTCTGAATTTGATTTGAAATTTGATCAAAATATTTTGTCAACTTTCATTTGTTTCAGCTTTCAAATTTGATAATTGAAATATGAAATATGATTGGCATAATTTAAATTGATTTGAAATATATTGAAATAATTTGTCAGCATTCAAATTGATAAATGATCACACGAATTTGAATTATTACCTATTTTTCAATCAAGTTCAGAAAAGATTGAACACATATTTTAGTTGATTGAAATATGATTGAATCGATCAAATTTAAATTTGTTTAAAATGTATCCAAGATTAGTCTTGTTCTACAGGTCTTGTCACCGGGATTCAGATATAAAAAAATCAAAAACGAAAAGTTAAGAGATATCAATCATCTAAATTAAATGGAAATAAAATGCATGGATTTTGTTTGGGGAGAGAGGCGAGAGAATCAGATAGGTATGCATGCAAATGTCCTTCCATCTGAGCATGATCCAACACTAATACCGGTACATAGAAAACAATCAGACCAAGGAATCTAATACCAAAGTATACAGGTTGGAGGTTGCTATTCAACGATGCATGCTGTGCTGGAAAAAACCGGACTAGTCAATCCCACTCCGCGACATAGCAGAGCCGTTAGGAATGCTTTTCGGAGGAAGACACACATTCACTTTCTTAGTTTATTTCTATGTTCGCATATATTTACCTTGTAAACCGTGGCAAATCCACCCCGTCCAATTATTGCCTTTTCTGAGAAATTTCCTGTACCATCCATGATCTGAAAGAAGTTGAACTTTGAGAATCCCATGCAAGTCGCTTCTATATGGGCACAAAGCTCCATAAGTTCTTCAACGTTGGAGATTTTCTGCTCTTGCAGGTCCACTTTGCCTGACTCGTGGAAGCTATCCTTGTCAGTTATCACCAAATGGGATCGCAAAGAGACATGGACATGGCCAAGAGAATGCAAATTTGTAAAGAGCACGCTCCAATTTGTCTATTGCATAGATCATCAACTCATCCTAGTTAGGGACTCCCATCTTACGAAAAAAAATGGAGATTGTAATACAAGCCATGCAATACGCAGATCAAGTTTCTGCCACTCACATAACATTTTTCACGTGGTAACTACTTGAGTGAACATGTGCTAAAACCATTTTTTTAAATGAGGCAATGAATTTCTCAACTGTAGAATTGTATGTTCAGTAGTTTGAAGTAGGGTTCGAAGTTCATAGTCTATCCGAAGCATATGTTGCTTCCACTAACTAGTTCTTTTTCATGAGATGTGTTTATTAACTAAAGTTTGGCCACGGTGAGATTCTATGCAGTGACACAATGTCTACTCATGATAAAGTATGCACATATGACAAAAAATAATATCAAAATCATTCATATGGACATTTTTATTCTCTCTGTTGTAATATGCCCAAGAGCCTGAGCAGCAAGGTGCAACAACTGCCAACCGCACACAGACATAACAAAGCTATTCCGAAATACTTGAAGAAAATAAGACTGTCATGAAACTTCAGTCTATTACTTCCCATGTCCGAGTCCATGATTAACCGCATTAGGAAATTCATAGAAGTAACTACTTACCTACAAATGGCTGTTCTTGAACATTGCGAAGTTCTGTAGCACCTTGAATGCATATTTTGGTGAACTCCAAATCTCTTGCTGGAAATCTAAACGTAGGTAAATCTCATCACTACTATATCTATATACCACCCACCAATGGCTTCACTACAGTCCTAAAAAGTGGCAAAATTCATACATTTGAGGCTATAACTGACAAACTTATGACATGGTTACATAATTTGAGCTTCATGCCCGTTAAATTTAAAAAGAAAAAAATATGCTTATTGACAAATATAATAGAATTTTGTCAAAACACTGTATATTAAGTAAAGCAAATTAACTCATCGCACTAATGCACATCTTACATTACAGACATAATCTACAGATATGTTACAAGTATGTAACATGTAACTCCCAAATACAACTACTTCTACTCCCTCCGTCCGAAAAAGCTTGTCCCTTAAATGGATGTATCTAGCACCAAGTTAGTGCTAGATACATCCATTTGAGCGACAAGCTTGGGACAAGCTTTTTCGGACGGAGGGAGTATGATCTAAAGCAAGCGGTAGTCACTAGTCAACCAAATATAATCAACAATCATCTGGTTGTCCCTTGTCACTTTGTCAGCATACCTAGTGGTTAACCTTCGGGAAATGGTTAACCTTCCATGTTGTTACTTGGTCAAAAGACATAACAAGACTTCAGATTTAAACATAAATACATGATGAATAATTCTCAGAGTAATAAACTACATAATGAAAAATTATCTGTTACCGTCAAAAAAATAAATTATCTGACCTGATGTGATGATTTGAACTATCTGTGACTACACTGAGCACCCCCTCCTCGACCTGCTAGACAAGGATAGCCAAAGTGACAAATATTATTTATGTTCAATTGACCAGCACAGGCTGTATGATCCAGGTTAGGCGTGGCCTTATTAAAGAGCAGAAACACCCTGTGAAATCAGAATTGCTCAACTGAAATCGAATTGTGGAACTGGTAGTACCAATTTGCAATCGGAGTCAGACGCAGTTATGCACAGAATCACTTGAACAGGAATCCAATTATAAACAAACTGCCCTAAAATCAGTTTTGTTTTTCCTCAAATCACGAAATCTCAATAGTACTGACCTTGGCACGACGACTGTTTGTCGAATTGTCCACAAGGGCGATGAGCGGGATGAGGCGGATGAACATGTCAATCTCGTTCTGCGCGGCGCGGAGCTCGTCGGCCATATGTCCGCCCAGGAGCAGACGCCGGAGGTAGCCGCAGTCCTGGCACACCGTAGCGAGCGCATAGCACCGCCGCAACGCGGCGCCGAGCTGCTCCAGTGGCCGCCTGGTGGCCTCCCGCCGCATCAGCTCGTCGAGTTCCAGCTCCCCGAGCAGGCCCCCGACGGCCGACGAGCTCGACGTGCTGCGCGAGGCGCACGCAGGCGTCCCGGTGGCGGCGCGCCGCCAGCGCGGCCTGCACCACCATGGAGACGAGCCCAAGCGCGTCCACGCCGACTAGCTGTGCCACGCTGGAGGCCTGCCCCAGGGCGGCCCACAGGCTGCTCGTGCTCGAGGAGCTGTTCCACGGCGTCGCCATGCTCGCTGCCTCCAGTTTCTGCAGGCTGCGACCTCTCCTGCCCCAGGCGACCGGGCTTTGTTGCCGCCATTGACGGGCAAGGGCGCGACAGGTGTGTGTTGGTGAGCTTGTGTTTGACCAAGACCTTGACTAAGCGTGGACGCGTCTTAGTAATTGTACGTACTATATGCGAGTGACCTCTTTGAATAAAAAAGAGACCAACCCGAGAGTGCCGTTTTGGCACATGGGAGCAGGCGCTCCTGGTATTTAATAGTATATATTTTCAACATATTTTGAAATGTCAAAAATTTCAAACAAAAATTTCGCACGTACAACTTGATATTGTACATGCTCACAAAGTCGTTTCACGAAAAACCGATAACTTATGTGTCACGCGTGAAAACACAAAATCCATTGTTAAAAAATGGTTTTCACAAAACAACCATTTGACCGCTTTGCCAGCCCCAGCCCCAGCCCCAGCTGCTTGGACCGCGCGCCCTCTCTTCCCGAGACCGCGTGCCCACCGTGCGTCACTCCGATGTCGGCGTCCACCTTCCCGCCGCTGGCCACTTCGGCAGTGGCGGCCACCCAGTTGACCTCTCGTCGTCTCGCCCCCTCCTCCCTTCCCCGGCGCGCCATGGCGGAGAGCCCGCGCTCTGTGACCTCGTCCTTCCATGGGTAGAGGCCTGTTGTCTCTGGGCTTGGCCTTCGTCGGCTTCGGAGGGCTCTGCGGCGGCGGCGGCGGTGCATGCCCCTGCGGTGGAGGCTGAGGAGGTGGGGCCTAGCCGGCGAATCTCGCCACGGCAAGAGGCACCCGCCTCCAAGAAGACCCCGTGGCGGCGTCGGCGGGAGGAGAGGCCGGCGCCCCACCGCCCGTCGCCCCCGCGCAAGGAGGTCTCGCCGGAGATGCGGGACAAGTGTTTTCGTTGTCTTAGCAAAGGACACTTCCGGAAGGATTGCACCAACAACGTTGTTTGTCTCTGGTGTGGCCTCCCAGGCCATGTTGCGAGGCAGTGCAAGAGGCCGCGCAGCCCATCGCCGGTCGAGGACCTCAGGAGGGAGGCTGCAGCCAAGGTTGCAAGGCGGTCTGCGTCGGTGGCGGCGTCTGTGGGTTCTAGATCGTTGGGTGAGGTGTTTGGGCGCAAGCTTCTCCCTCCCCCGCCGCCGCTGCTAGCGGCGCCGGTGTGGCCCCGTCTCGCCCCGCCGTGCCTGGTCGTGGAGTCGGATCAGGAGATTGGTTCAGGGGAATTGTGCATTGTCAGGAGGAAGCGTGCGATGGAGCAGCTTGAGGGCAGATTGCAGCATGCCATGGTGGTCTATGTCGGTGGCGACAGGTCGATGACCTCGCCGGAGTTTGTGCTGGCTGCGCTGCAAGAGAGGATGGGCATATCGTCGGACAGAGTGTCGGTGCACAGGTTTAGGCCGAAGGACTTCCTGGTCGTGTTCGCGAGGAAGGAGGACCGCACCAGGATGGGGTTGCGGCCGGTGTTGGAGTTCAGAGGACAACGACTTTCTTTCAGGCAATGGATACGGCAATCTCAGGCTGTGTTCGCGGCCATGAAATTCAAGGTGGGACTGGAGCTTGAAGGAATCCCTCCCCATGCGTGGGAGCTTGAGGTGTGATACATCTCCAACGTATCTATAATTTATGAAGCATTCATGCTATTTTATTATCTGTTTTGAATGTTTATGGGCTTTATTAATACACTTTTATATTATTTTTGGGACTAACCTATTAACCGGAGGCCCAACCCATATTGCTATTTTCTTACCTATTTCAGTGTTTCGAAGAAAAAGAATATCAAACGGAGTCCAAACGGAATGAAACCTTCGGAAAAGTTATTTTTGGAACAGAAGCAATCCAGGGAACTTGGAGTGCAAGCCAGGGAAGCTTCTAGGAGGCCACGAGATAGGGGGGTGCCCTCCACTCTCGTGGGCCCCTCGAGGCTCCCCCGACCGACTTCTTTCGCCTATATATTCCCATATATCCTAAAAACATCGAAGCGAACAATAGATCGGGAGTTCCGTCGCCGCAAGCCTCTGTAGCCACCAAAAACCTCTCGGGAGCCTGTTCCGGCACCCTGCCGAAGGGGGAATCCCTCACCGGTGGCCGTCTTCATCATCCCGGCGCTCTCCATGACGAGGAGGGAGTAGTTCACCCTCGAGACTGAGGGTATGTACCAGTAGCTATGTGTTTGATCTCTCTCTCCCTCTCTCTCGTGTTCTCTCTATGGCACGATCTTGATGTATGCGAGCTTTGCTATTATAGTTGGATCTTATGATGTTTCTCCCCCTCTACTCTCTTGTGATGAATTGAGTTTCCCCTTTGAAGTTATCTTATCGGATTGAGTCTTTAAGGATTTGAGAACACTTGATGTATGTCTTGCCGTGCTTATCTGTGGTGACAATGGGATATCACGTGATCCACTTGATGTATGTTTTGGTGATCGACTTGCGGGTTCCGCCCATGAACCTATGCATAGGGGTTGGCACACGTTTTCGTCTTGACTCTCCGATAGAAACTTTGGGGCACTCTTTGAGGTACTTTGTGTTGGTTGAATAGATGAATCTGAGATTGTGCGATGCATATCGTATAATCATGCCCACAGATACTTGAGGTGACAATGGAGTATCTAGGTGACATTAGGGTTTTGGTTGGTTTGTGTCTTAAGGTGTTATTCTAGTATGAACTCTATGATAGATTGAACGGAAAGAATAGCTTCATGTTATTACGGACTCTTGATTAGATAGAACAGAAAGGATAACTTTGAGGTGGTTTCGTACCCTACCATAATCTCTTCGTTTGTTCTCCGCTATTAGTGGCTTTGGAGTGACTCTTTGTTGCATGTTGAGGGATAGTTATATGATCCAATTATGTTATTATTGTTGAGAGAACTTGCACTAGTGAAAGTATGAACCTTAGGCATTGTTTCCTACCATTGCAATACCGTTTGTGCTCACTTTTATCACTTGTTACCTTGCTGTTTTTACATTTTTCAGATTACAAAAACCTATATCTACCATCCATATTGCACTTGTATCACCATCTCTTCGCTGAACTAGTGCACCTATACAATTTACCATTGTGTTGGGTGTGTTGGGGACACAAGAGACTCTTTGTTATTTGGTTGCAGGGTTGTTTGAGACAGACCATCTTCATCCTACGCCTCCTACAGATTGATAAACCTTAGGTCATCCACTTGAGGGAAATTTGCTACTGTCCTACAAACCTTTGCACTTGGAGGCCCAACAACGTCTACAAGAAGAAGGTTGTGTAGTAGACATCAAGCTCTTTTCTGGCGCCGTTGCCGGGGAGATGAGTGCTTGAAGGTATATCTTTAGATCTTGCAATCGAATCTTTTTGTTTCTTGTTTTATCACTAGTTTAGTTTATAAAAGAAAATTTCAAAAAAATGGAATTGAGTTTGTCTCATACGCTTCATAATTTTAATATCTTTCGTCAGTATGATGAAAAGGAAAATTGTGCTCAAGTGCTAGAAGAAGAAGTCTATAAAATGCTTGATACTAAATCTTTGAATGATGAGCATGATTGCAATGTTGTTAGTATGAACTCTTTGAATATCCATAGTACTAATGATGATTGCACTAGTTATGATGAAAATGTCTCCTATAAGCATGTAGATTTTTGTGGAGTGAATCGGGTTTGCAAGTACACACCAATTAGGGAAAATAGATATTACAAGAGGCATAAGCATTTAGAAACTAAATGGTTGCAAGAAAGGCTTAATGTTAGTGCTGAAAATTTAAAATATCTCCACCGTACTTGTGAACTTTGCAATGAGCATGGTTATTTAAATCTCCGATGCAAATTGTTTCATGATCGAATCGTGTCCAAAAATTGTGATGAATTGATTTCCCTTACGCATCATAATGAACTTAGTTTGCTTTTGGGTTATGAAGAATTGAAACATGCAACTAAGCTTATTTCAGAATTTAACCTTGAGGAATTCCTTGATATTGATCTAGAGGATATTTATTTGTATTGTGCGGTGAATTGCCTTGAAAATCCTTATATTGCCAATTACCAAAAGAAAAGAAAGTAAATAGAAGATGAAGAGAATATTAATGAAAGGGAAGAGATTTCCCAATATCCTCCTATTATTTCTTATGATGAATCAGGTAACGAGGATGAGCTTTCTATTCAACCAATCTCATCAATAAGGAGCTCAAAGAAGAAGGTTGAACCCACACATAATGTGAAGAAGAAAAATAAAAGAAGGAGCAACAAAGGTAGAAAGGTATCCCTCCCAAATGATGTTGCTCCTACTACTCATTGTGATGATGATAATTGCTATACTATTGGTGCTATCCATACTATTAATGATGAGAGTGATTATGCTTATGATATGAAAAGGCCCAAGCTTGGGGATGCTATGTTTAATGAAGATGATATTTTTAGCCTCCCAAGTTTTGATATGCAAAGTTGTTATGATGATAGCATGCCTCTTACCTATGATGATTATATTGATGAAAGTGGGTTTGAAAGAGTGTCAACTTTAGGAAGTAGTGATCTCACTATTTTGGAAGATGTTGAATCTTATTGTGATGAATATGAAAGTGGATTTGGAAGAGTGTCAACTTTATTTAGTGATGATTCCACTATCTTAGTAGAGGTTTCAATCGATTATGATGAGAACGAAGTTGCTACTTATGATGATTATTGTGATGAAACTTATGCTATAAAAGGTACCGATGATTATAAAACTTGTCATGATTATGATTGCCCTTTTTCTGAACATTACTCTATTAATGTGGAAACAATTTTTAGTATTCGAGTCTCTTATGATACTCCCACCATTCCGAATGAGAAGAATTTTACTTATGTGGAGAGTAGTAAATTTTCTATGCTTGTAGATCATGAAAAGAATGCTTTAGGTGCTGGTTATATTGTTGAATTCATTCATGATGCTACTGAAAATTATTATGAGGGAGGAACATATGCTTGTAGGAATTGCAATAATATTAAGTTTCCTCCCTATGTGTTGAAAATCTCGAAGCTAT